ATCATGATAACGGCTGTTTTTAGGTGTGATTCTTTCCTTTTAAAAGACATTGAGATACAAAATAAGTGTGAGTCAGTACTTTTTAAAGACTGTCTGCGTTGGCAGTGTGTTGTCACTCTGGGTTTACAGACATTTTACATTGAGTAACTTAAAGTTATAAATAATTCATAAAAATATTTTACAGTCATAATTCTGCCTACAGAAGGTTTTGTGATCTCCGTCGGTGTGATTTGGGGGAATTTATAGGATTGAAACTTACAAAATTACCCACCTATTGTTTTGCTCTCTGTCTTTTGAATTATTCGATGCTGAAACCTACGAGAGGAAACCAGCTGGTATATAATTTCACCATACCGTCTTTTCTGAACAAGAAGAGCTTATGGTGAAGAACAGTCTTTAAATTCATGCGACAGCAATTTTGAATGGAAGCTGATACCAGCTGATATGAGCTGCTTTCCTAGAGCTCAGACAGGCTGATGTCAGCACAGAGCCATGATAAAGATTCTTAATTTAAGACATAATCAGAGACAGACAAGCCTTTGTTTCAGTCTGCTGCTGTTGGAGTTCTGAATGGCAGAACTAATCCTGTTTCTCAAATGACAACAGAACACATGCACACGGGGAAAAATAGTCATTCTACACAGACAGAATTTGCATTATGCGTTACACTGATCAGGGTAGAGGCAAGCTCAACCCTATAGCCCAACAGCTGTGGAGCGATAAATAAAACATGTTCATAATAAACACAAACAAAAGGAGCAGACGCACTTTTATTGTGCAGTTAAACTTAACCCACCGAAAGTTATACACACATTTTACCACAACCATATGTACAGCAAGCCAACAAGGCCTTGCTGGTATTATTGAAGCAGAGACTTAAGACAGCTGTATTAATGGCTATAGCTCACCAACTCCTACATATTCACCCTAGAAAACAACACAGAGACACCAGAAGACAGCGAAAAGAATACCGATCCGATTCGATCGACTAAGCTTAACATGACAGCTATCTGTTTGACCTTTCACCCCGACCACATTTTCTTTTACTATCTCTAACCCAGCAGTCAAGTAGGTGACCTGTGTTCTGTGTTTGGGTTTGAAAGATCACACTACTTCACAGTTTCTGGCTGACAGTGGCCTGACGAAAGGCTGACTGCTGACCTCAGGCTATATATCTTATCTGACTGGGAAGCTAATAAGAGAACACGTGTCCTCACAAGTTTCAAGGACAAGCCAGAAAAAGGACACTGCTCACACAAACCTTTGGTGTGTTTTTGAGGTTCCTACAAAGAAAAGTCTTAAAGATGTTGACAAGTCTATCCATCTATTTGTCTGGAAATTTTTAGTTTTAATACTATTCATACACTTTTGCATTACATCTATTCAGTTACATTTAAAGACTGTTATGTTACTTGTACTACCACCACCACCACCACTACTACCACTACTACTACTAATAATAATAATAATAATCATGATAAACTGCTATACCAAAAAGAACTTCACAAATGTCAATAAATATAAAAATATAAAATCATCATCATTATCCCAAAATGTAACATTTGACAGTAATAAACCAGATTGTAGACAGACCAAAGTTACTGTTGTTAGATATCCTTTGTGAGCTATTATTTCACCAGTTTAACTTCAACTTCTGTATTTTTCTGATGGTGGAAAAAAAACGCGCATCTTTATTCCAGTATGTACTTCAACAAACAACTTTGCTGTTAAAATGCTTTCCTTTCAGTGGCCACCCTGACACTTCTTCCAGTGTCATTATAAGCCTACAATGTTCCTTTCAGCAACCTTTTGAGCCATGATGGTTTATTTTAAAACCCAATTGCCTAATAGTCTCAAAGAAAGCTTCAGATATTTATCGCTTTAAAAGATGACTGACCTTTGGCCAGAATTTCAACTCATAAATATATCTAAAAAAGCATGGTGTTTCATGATATTATTCTTTCTTTTCAGCGGATAAAGGATTTTGATTGTAATGACCCAATTATATGTCCTACAGCACCACAAATCAAATTAACATGTTAGCTTCAGCACTGGTACCATTAAAGAATGAGCAAACACACACTACAGCCTCTAAGGGCCACAGATTCGGACTGCTGGTGTCATTAACACTGGGTTTTGTGTTACTTCCTGTTTCATTTTGATAGTCTTTTGTCTACTATTTCGTTTTGTTTCCTTTATCTCAGTATTTCCTGATTTGTCTTACCTGTTCCACTCTGGTGTGCCCTATCCCCCTGATTAGCCCTAATTTGTCATTTAATATAAACAGCCCCAGGCTCCACACATCCTTTGTTGCGTTGTCTATTATCCTACATACTCCCAGCCAGTTGTTTAGTATTGTGGATTCAGTTTAAATTCCCTGTGTTTCTTTTTTTGTATGGACTCTGTTGTTTTTAATAATCCACCTTTTAAATAAAGGTGCTTTTTCAGTTTGTTCAGTGAGTCTGGTTAGTCTACATTTGGGTCCATGTCTAGCAATTCATGGCAGCTGGTTTTGCTTTTAATCTGTCCAGCCGACAGGGTTTGTATCCAACTGTGGGCACTCAGCCATAAAGAGATTTACAGAGAGTAAACATCCCTTCCAACAAATATACCCAGCCCAGACAGAGCTGCTGTGTCCAGATGAACAAATGAGCAGTTGTCAGTTTTCGGTTTGTCAGCTTGGCAAAAAAAACCCCAAAAAAAACACCTAAGGACAACCATACAGCACCATTGTTACCCTGTCATTTCCTATGATGAGACATAACAGTGAGTAAATGTCTGATTTAAGGATGAAGCTTTAAAACATTGAACCTCACAAACTATCACCTTTCGATTTCTGGTGAACATGAGCGCATAAAAACTGGTTAACTGGTGCTGAGGGAGAACATGGTTTCATTAGTATTTGTCAACATTACAACGATGTTAGTATTAGTTATTGATCTCTACATGGAAATACTCGAGTAGTAAATGATGTTGTAGTTGTTCGAGTATAACACTGTGTGCAGTGTTTGACTGTCTAGACATTGGTGTTATTTAGAAAATCCTTTTATATCAATAATTCAAAACCATTTTAGCAGCGTGTTCAATTAACTGATTAACTGTTGTTCACAAATAAAAGCACTAAAAAGCTGTCTGCGACCTGACACTACAACGCTGTGACGTGGAAAACAGAGTTAATCTAAGAAAATCCAGGTTGTCACTCCTTACAAGGTGGCCTCATTCAAGCCCCAGTTCCTCTCGACACAAAGCTATTTAAACACCATTAATACAGGACTAGAACACCGTTTCATCGCCACTGTGTGCAGAACCTTGTGTCCTCATTTCTCCTGGAAATCTAACAGTGTAAGGCAAGACCTGAAGGAAAAGCTAATCTTAGACTCAACCTGTCTCTAACACGTGCATTTGTCCTTGGCCTCTCGGATTTAGGATGTAGATGACACCATCTGCTGACTCAACATTTGTCAAGCTTCTTTTTCAGCTTTTCAGCCGTGTGCGGGAAAGAAGGAAAAACAATGCAAACAAAAAAAATGTATCTTGGTTTAATGGATCAATCTATTTTTTAAAATGTTGTTTTTGAAGTTGTTGAAAATCACATATCTGTCGTTGTTTACGTAGCCAGAAATTCACATTTAACACAAATGTGCATTTAATTGTTACATTTGCCTTCAGAAACCTTCCTGTTCTATAGCAACGTAATGATAATGCAACCAGCTGGCAACCAGATGAGTCGAGTCCCCTCAAGTTATACTCATTGAGAACGACTCATTTAGCTTGATGGCAACATGCTGGCAATCTGTCTGCTTTTATAAATGAGGCAATTATTTGCAAACCTTCACTCTGAGAGTGACTGCAGTCAGTCCACGTAAGACTGCAACTGTTTGCAGAAAGGTTGCCTCCTATCAGCCAATCTGTGCAATCGCCTTGCAATCAAACATGGTCACAAGTGTGCAACCCCCCTTAAACTATCTGCAAGCATTTAGTCACCACTAGCTGCAATCAGTCCCAGAGTGACTTCAATGTAATACAAACACCAGGCAGCCAACAATGTATTTTTTCTTGTAGATGTCAGGACTGTCCTATTTTTAGTCATGTGACTGGACCATTAGCTTGCACTGAATTAGCGCAAGCTAATTAGCTTGCACTGAATTTAATTCAAGTTATCTCAGGATGGTGATGCAAGAGGTAAGCCCTCTTTGTTCATAGTCTTCCCAAAGTATTTTAATTTACTGCAGTATCGATATTTGTATCGATATCACCACTCAAGATGCTCCACCCGTAAAACTGACAAGGTAATTTGTAGTGGAAGAATGAACCTATACACAATTGGGCTTGACAACACAAGCAGGGATGTTACATGATTTTACATAGTTCTATGTAACCTGAATTAATTTGTTTTTAAAATTCATTCAAATGGATGATAGACACTGTCTGGTGTGGCAGCAGGATCAGTTTTCATTCCATTTCACATTTGTAGCCTTAAAGTTAGTAGTTTAGATTTTAGACTGATGTTCTTACTAATAGAACATGGAGCTAAAAGATAACAAAACTCTTATATAGTCCTTCCTAAATTAATTGCTTGAATTATAAATGGTTATTATTTAAAGGTGTGACATGAACCTGACAGGCTGTCCACATTCTGAGTGCTATGATACACAATTGCTTGTTGTTGTTCACTAGGCTGTTGCATCATTTACCGACTTCCACCAGAGGGAAATTGGATAGGCCTGGTGATATGGTTTACGCATCTGTTTAAGTGAGTGTGAACAAATAATGGTATATTGTGATGTGATAGGGTCAGTCTCCGTGACTGCTTGGGTGCATGTTTGACGAATGCAGCAGCATCAAAACTGTGCATATTCAAGTATTCTGAACCTCTCCTTTCAGTGCAGGACAGTTTATCTCTGCAAACTACAGAGAAATAATATGCTCTAGTCTTAAGTTAAAAAATGCACACACGCACACACAAACAGCAAAAAAAAAAAAAAGCACTAGAAGCCTACCTGCAGGCCCCTGCGTCTCAAAATACTTGAGTCATCCATGATAATGCGAGGTTAGGTATCTTTTGTTTTCAAAGCAACAAAGTTCAGGCACTTTCTAGGAAGTCTGTCCACATGGAAGTAGTGAGATCAGAGCCTCCACCCCTCTTTACTGTCCGTCAAGGCTTTACTCATCAGGTTGTCATCGTTTTCCATTTCAATCAGAAGCTTTAAGAGTCCTGTTTTTTCTCTGAGACGTCACTGAGGTGATCAGTTTCAGGTTTCAGTGCCAAATAGATGGGATTCAGTCAATAAGGTGAATAAAAATATGTGTGTGTATATATTGATATATATATACAAAATCCAAGGCTGTTATACTAACTGTGGAGGGAAAATAAAAGCACAGAAGACTGGTCTAATGTTGATCTCTTCCATTTCTTTATCTTTTGTGTGTATTCAAACTTGTTGTAGAGAATGGTGAAAGCTCATCCTCCGTATCTTCCCTGTATGTTCCATTCATTTATTCAGCACTGGACACACCCCTCAGTTTCCCAGAGTGTACAGTGAGGCGCTCAGCTCCTTTTTTCTGGTTTCTGACTCTCGAGTCTCTTCATCTGTCCTCCTCCGTTTGCCTCCCACCCCTAAGGCACTAGTCCAGAGGAAACTCTGCTCCTTCCATTATTCATGTGCAGCTTGCAATAGAAATTAATGATGACGATGAGGCCTCAGGGGGTGGACAGAGGGAGGGGAAAAAGAGACTGAAAGGAGGCAAAACATAAATGGGAAGGCACCAGCTTGCTTGCCTCTGGCTTAATTAGAGCTGAGCTGTAACAAGGTCCCGAAATCACTGCAAGAACACAAGCAGGCAAGCAGGCTTCCAGAGTTTCTTTCTATGGAGGGATCAGTCAGGACTGACAGGCCCTATGTGCTCAACCTGCTAAGTGACACTCAATCCAGAGTTTAGAGAAAAGCCTGCTTTTCCTCAATCAGTTTTATGGCTTGAGATTAGAAAAGAAAGACGCACAAAGCTGTTAGACTCACCAGACGACACAGAGTGTAGACTAAAAAAAAGTGTTTGTTTGCTAGCAGTGATTTACTAAGCAAGAAGGCACCTCGCATCCATCTCCATGCCAACCAAAAGGGCCAGATTCCATACAGTTAAAGCCATAGGGGTCTCGCAGACACGCACACAAGCATCCGCCACACACACAACCCCATCATGCATGTTAGTCATCGCTTCATCTCTGCCGTCCTCTCCTGCACCTTCTCCTGCATCTTTCAGTTTTCAGTGTTTCTCCAAAAGGCTGTGGGGAGGAGGAGATCCAGATCAGCTGAGAGTAGTAACACAAGGGGACGAACAAGGCAGGAAGGATGAGCGTTTCCGTCTCTGAGAAGAACAGATGAGGATTCCAAGAGGATTCCTTCCTTCCTCTTCTCTTGTCTTCTGTTCCTCAAATCTCTGCGTCCCCTCTGTTGTTGCCTTTCTTTGCTCTCTCTGATGTGTCAGTATGCTCACATGCTCCAGCTCCTCCCTCTGTTCTTTTTCCACAAGCTCAACCTCTCTCTCTTTCTCTCCCTCTCTCTCTGCAGAGACGGCCTATCAGGCACAAGCAGGAGACAGAGGCTTTGCTCACAATGAATGGAGCAGGGACAAGTGCTCCGCCTCTCTCTCCACTCGTGTGCGCCGTGTATCCGTCACTAGAACCTCGCCTGGTTCTAACCAAAACAAGATGCTGCCTTTGCACCTTGCAACACGCACACACAGAGCAATGTGTGCTTAATGCATCATTATTTTATGCACATGAATTAATCATGAATGCACTGATCAGAGGTTTTGGATGATCACTTTTTCACACAACTCTCTTTTTAATTTTAAAAAATATATATTATCCCTGATGGTTTGTATGTAAAAGTATGTGGACACGCAAACATACACCTGTGTTCACCTGTGCTTAAAGCCATAGGCATTAAAGATGCTGGTATTACAGCCACCGCTTTCCTGATCTTACAAGAACTTGGAGGTATGACCAAAAGCATGTAAGTGAGCCTTTATAAAGCTTCAAAGTGTCTCATTTTTCCCTTTAATATTACGTAAAAAGAGTTAAAAACGTATTTTACCTTGTCTTTTAAGATGAAGATGAAAAGAGGGTGGATGTAAACACACAGCCAAGGAAACTTTCAATTTCTTTTCAGAGAAAGAAAATAAAGGTTCAGCCAATCAGCTGGATCAAAAATTGATCACAATAACTGTCACTTGTAAAGATCTGAAAATGTTTACCTTTTCTGGATATATCTTGTTTTGGCAGGTTTTGGTAAGTGACACCAGAACACTATTTTTAACTGGTGATCCTCCTCCACAAACAAGAGAGATGCAAAGTAGCAAAGAAGCGAAAAAAACAAAAACAGGAATGGGGACAAAAAAGTGATGGAAGGATAGATTGAACTGTAGGAAGGCAGAGCGTCTGGAGTCCTCCTACACGCCACAGAGAGCCATGTACTGATGACTCACAAAGACATGAGAGAATGGTAATGAGAATGAATGGATGGTTTGAATAACCAAGCAAAAAAAAAAAAAAACAAGCAGAAGAGAGAGAGTATATGTCTGCTGGTGCATGCATATATATATATACTGTATACAGCACAAACACAACACTGACCATGGACAGATTCGTCTGTTCAGCCACTGCTATGTGTGTAGAGGGAGATCAGACCCTGAGTAATCCGTATCAAACTGAGCTCCAGCAGCCCTGTCTGGGCCCCCATCCTCTGGTCAAAGCCCCAGTGTTAGTGAGTGCAAAGGCCAAAGGGGCCACACAGAGGAATGTTCACTTAGCCACAAGACTGGTGGACAGTAGCCCACCAACTGACTGCTTGTGTAGTGGACGGAATGCAGCTTGGCTAAAATTAAAACGCATACAGAGACACTGAAATGAAAGTAGTCTAGCATGTGGGCACCTACACTCACACCCAGTGTGAGGTTAGAGGTCAAGGGCAATAAAGGCATGATACACATGCCTATTATTATCCTGTTTCTACTACATTATCCCTATAATACTCGGATTTAGCGTAACATTGCGTCCAGCACCCACAAACTCACAGGAACATTTTGTAAATCAGCTACAACATGAACATCGTATTTCACCTTCCAACCAGATGCCAGACTCATCATGATGATGACGATGACATGATCAACGTGTCTTTCAACATCATACTTCAGGACACAAATTAGAATTATTAAAGCTATAATAAGTACTAAGTACTTAGCAGTATGTACCTACCCATTTATTAGTATTACATTTTGATACTGGAAAACTGGGAAATCTGCCTTGAACCCATATTTCTAACATAATCCAGTGTGTAACAGTGACCTATGCAGTGTGGCTGTGCAGAAAATTAGTTAGAAGTTGCGTAATTATAAATTTAGTTCACTGTTTAGGAAGATTGTTTTAAAGAACCTGTTTTCAGTATCACCTCAGAGATTTTTGAACAGAAGGTTCTGACTAATAGCTCTGGGCCACAGCTGACTGTAAAGAAATCTGTCTACCAAATACACAAGATTTAACAACATTTGTGTTGTCGTGAAGTTAATGGGCCATTGCAATGTGGCTCAATCAATAGACAATATGAAATCATGTTATTGATACCTGATATTTCGTGTTAAATTGGTATCGACTCTCACTCTGACGTTGAGGGTTTGGAATACAGGCTGTTGTGCCAGACACGATGGTCATCTTCTTTGTATAATAAAGGAGCTGAGATAAAGAGCTCCTGTTTGTGTTACTTCATTCATCAGCTTGATGGGTTGGTCTACTGTTAGTCAAACTGTCCCGCAGCCAGCTGGCTGGCTGTCTGGACAGCAGCCTGACGGATATCTCAGAGTCATGCATGTGTATACAGACACGCTGAAATAAAACAATCGGAGTAAATGAGTTTCAGGGGAAATAAAGTTAATGCCAGGAAATCAGTCACAACAATTATATAAACACAATACTACATTTGTCCAGTGCGATAATGGACAGTCCTAAAGAAACAAGCAATTGGAAGATTAATAGAAAAAATAAAAGCATTAACAGAGAGCTGTAAAGAAAGGTAGCAAACAGCACTATGCAACAGCCCCGCCCGAAAATGAAAACTATGAAATGAGTAGTAGGATGACAGCTCTGTGTGTGTGTGTGTGTGTGTCTGCATTATGCAGACGGGTTGCGTGCTGCTCTGTCTGAGCATTGTGCTGACGGTGTATTTGGATGTGTGTGTCAGACAGGACAGCAGGAGAAAGCTCAGTCTGAATAAATTAAACATGAAGGTGTTTGGCACAGGATGAAGAATGTGAACACAGTGTTATTCAACTCCATCAGTGACAGGAGGCAGAGGGTGCAATTTCCACAATAATAGAGACCAACTAAAATGCACACACTTGAAAGAGCTGCGATCTTACATAACCACAAAGCTCTGAAATCACTTTTCAATCCAGCTTTGCCTTTCAACGCACCACTTCTTTATCATACACAAAGCTGTTCACAGCTGCAGCGGCTTAATAGCTCTACGTATGGAGATGTGGTTCATTTGGTCCAGGTAAGAGAAATCCGGCTGAACAGTCCGCTTTTCTTTCTGTGCTTATTCTCGTCTGTAATGACCATGGTTTCTTTGTTTTGCTGTGAGAGATGGTGACATCATTTTTGGGTTTCCTGAAGTCTGAGTGACTGGTCGACTTATTCTTGATTTTTGCAGATGGTTTATATAGAACAATGTGATGATGCTGAAAGCAGATGAAAGCTAAAGAGAAAAAGCGAACGAAGAGAGGGAAATAAGAGCAAGAAAGATGTGGACACACAGCCGTTGCATAAAGCTTTGTCCCCATCGGGGCATTGATAAGAAAATGCTGAGTAAGCCTGAAAAGGCTTTACACTGTGAGAGGGAGAAAGGGCAGATGAAAGAGAGGATAGAGAGAACTAGGGTAGAGGTACAGAGTACAAATTAAGACAAAGACTAATGTGGCCTGTCTTCCCTTCAAGTCTCAACTTTTGTAAAGTGGATTAAATGAAATGTATGACTAGAAAGTGGTAGATAACATAATTAGGAACTACAGAAATGAAGCCGTCTGGGAAACACAGAGTAGCTGTGCGTGGATCCAGCGTGGCTCAAGGACCATCTGTGTGTAATGCTACAGCTTTTGAGTCACTTGTGCAATTAACAGTTTCGGGTTTGGATTATTAATCACTGGATAACTGTGCACTGACAATAAGGAATCTGAAACGGATTTTAATTTTATCTTGGCTCTTTTTTAGATTATCTAAACTGAATGTTTATTTTTTGTTATTTGTCATTTTCTCTATGCTACAGTAAATGCAACAAGAGAACTAAAGATGTTTTAAAAGGATTCCAATATGAATGTTTACATTCAACCACTAATCCCAAGGGAAACAATATTTAATAATCCTAAATAAGATCCAGAAGGCTCTGTTCTCTGTCAGTCACACTCTACAGTCATTTCAAGGCTCTCAATAAAGGGCAGAGGAAGCCAGACTCCAGTCCTCATGATAAGGGCTAAAGCTAAACGTGACTGTGTCTACTGTCAGGGGTAAAGACATAGTGAGAAACAAGCTCTTGATGATACAAAAATCCAAATGCACACACACACACAGACACACAGATTAGGACTGTAGTATCAGGGGCTCGCCAAGTCAAATCTTCTCTCTGTATCCTGCTTTGAATTGATCTCTATCATGCAAAATGTGCTTTGGCGTATTGTGCAGCTATAGTAGGTCAAAAGGTTACACTGACGTAAGATATCGCCGTGCATCTATATGTATGGAAGTAGGTGTGTGCATGTGTGTAAGTTCAAACTCAGTTCAAAAGACTGCTGGCGACTGCAGCAGCTCTGGCTCAATGCGCAATGCTGTGTGTGTTTAATGTCTGTTCAGTCAAGCCACAACAAACAGCAACAAACACTGCACCCTGTTTCACAGTGATGATAAGTTCCTAAAGACAGACATGCTGTTCCATCCTGTTCCTTTTTCAATGCAGAGCCTTTACTTTACAATATGCCCTGAGGCTGCTGTTGTTGTGGTTTGGTGCTATACGGCAGTTTCACTAAGGACCCATTTATCTGTGACACAATGGTCACTTCGCACGCAAACAGTCATGTCGCCACATCTCTGTACTATTTCTACCAGTCCCGAGGGCGCTAATACTCATTGCTGTATTCGCCTGAATGACAGGTGTCACCGCTCAGACAATCCTACCAAAGGGTGCCTCGTGCCAGCAGATGGGACATCACTTTTGTTGCCCATAAAACATAACTTATATTTACCCTTTTCCCCTCAGTACCACTTCAGAATGCAAGCAGTCACATTAATGGACAACTCTTCTCTCTTAATAGATTTTATCAAAGCACATGAAATCCTGCTTGTTTATCTTTCCCAAACCCTTCAGCACACACCGGTCGGTGGATATTTGCCATCTTGAGTTTGTATATATTAAAAAAAAAAGGCTGCAGAGAAGTACTGTTGAAAGTTGTAGGGCTCGAGCCATATTCTGCACAATAATACTGCTCGTCCGAAAACAAGACAACACACAATCATTTCTTGCAATAGGTACAACTAGAAGAGCACCAGGACTGACATTCAGACGTCTGGCAGATTGAAAGCATGCCCCTTTAATGGAACCTACATTTACATCCAGTTAAAGTAGGAAAGATGCTTTACTGAGTCGTACTGGACTAAAGTCCTGGGTTGCTTTACTGTTTGAGGCAGACTTGAGTCTGGCATGACCCCGAATTCATGTAACAGTTCATAACAGAGAGACAGAAAGAGAGGATGATACATGAGGCAGGGTGACATATGAGGGAGGATTACAAGATTGCAGGTAACACAAAACAACACACAAGCTAAATTATTCTTTGCACATACTTTTACACTGGAATATTTTAATCAATCTGTTGATGACATTTTTAGTCTGTGCAGTAGCTCTAATCGGAAGATAAAGAAAAGCCACAAGTAAACAGAAAGAATTCAATACTAACACAGGGATTTCATTCCAGGAAGAGTTTCCAACCTCACAGCAAAAAGGAGAGATGTAGAAGAAAAACAGATCAGAGGAGGCAGGCAGGGAGGGGGAGCTGAGATGGAAACACAATTCAATTTCCTCTCCGTCATCAGAGATGGAAGATACTGTCAAAACTGAATTACCTCATCCCAAACAGAACAGGACATTGTTTGAATGTATTTGTTAATGTAATTGAAGTGCAGGAAGCATCCAGCATAATGCTACACTGAAGCCTACGTCATTTCTGATAAAATACAAAACCAATGATACTGCATGTTATCTTTACCTACCTCCTCCTGCCAGGCAGCTCCATATCCAACACCCTTTGTCCGATATATTCACTTTGCTCCACTGACCATGTCCAAACCATCTCAGCATTACTGCTTTTTCTTTTTCTCCAAACTGCTCAACCTGAGCTGTCCCTCTGATCTGCTCATTTCTAAGACGTCCTAAACCTTCCCTTTCGGTCTCGCTTCTATCCTTAAATCACAAATCAGCCCTGACATTCGTCTGCACCCACTCACCCTGCCTGGACTCGTCTTCACCTCTCTTGCGCAGTGTCCATTGCTTTGGATGGCTTACCCCAGACATTTAAACTCATCTAACTTTATTACATCTATTCCTTGGAGCTTCATTGTTCCACCCATCTCCCTCACATTTACACACATTGCTTCCTCTTCTCTCCTGTGCATACTTCCACCTCTCCAGGCTTTTTTCCCCCTGCCTCCTAATCTCAGTACAGATCACGATGCCACTCAACAATTTTGAGTGCCTTTAAGGTGATGCTTTAACTCCTTATTGAACCTTTGCTACTTATTATGTTCACGCTGTAACCAAAGCATTATTATTATTGTAGTCTTGTAAATGTTTTCCGATGTGAAAGGAGAATTAATCGTCTGTATCCTCTAGTTACTGAAGCACAGACTCAGTTGAGGTTTCTGGTTTTTATTTTCGGACTTCTTTTAAACATTTTAGCTTGTCAATGACATAAAAGTTCCAGGCAAATGAATAAAGTCTGCTATTAGCAGACAGAGTGAGAGGGGAAACCAGATGACCGTGAGGGGTAAATGACTAGACTACACCTAACATACCACTGTTGGCAAGCACTGCAAGGCTTTCTATTATAATGAAAATCTATACAAGAGCAGACCACATCAATCTGACTGATTAGAATTGCTGACAAGGCTTAAAAGTTTACTCTCTCATTGTGCAAATCGCCTTTATTGTTATAAGACTGATTTAAAACACCTAAGTACGCACATTCAGGACAAAGAGAAGGAGGTGAACAGGAAAATAACACACAAACTGCCAGCAGACTAAATCTGATGATTGATTTTCTGACATTTTCGGACCCAAAAATGTGACCTGTAGCCCCAACTGTTATGCAGATTATTCGTCATATACCGTAATCAATGTCTGAAGCCCAAAAGGCATGCTAGCCGACACTCAGTTATCTAACGCACAGCACTGCTGAACTGCCTGGAATGTGTTTCCCTCTCATGTCATTCTGAAAGAGGACATAGCTCCCAAGAATAGATTTTACCACCTCTGGCGTTTTTAGGACCTTCTGTTCTCACCCAAGTGCAAATAAACTAGTTTTGTTTTCACAGGACTCTGTGTTATACTTTGAAAGTATACCCTTTGAGAAACTACTTCCATAGAATATGTCTGTGAAGGGCTCAGCCATCCACGCCATTGTAATCTCAAGAGCTTGGACAGAAAAGCGACTGGACTTTTTGAGTTTCTTGAAGACGTTTCACCTCTCATCAGAGAAGCTTCTTCAGTTTTTCAGGCGTAGTTCTGGTCTGGAACATTCAGCAGTGTGTTAACAAAGTGCCCAGCTCCAGTGAATTCACCCCAAGGTCAGACTGTGCAATGCTCAGAAAAACTGCAAACTGCAGGCCTGAGTTCGAAGGTTAAATGGTTCAGTCACTGAACTCCTCTGTAGTCCAAAGTATTCTCGAGTGAAATGTGTGACCATCTGTCCAACAGCTAAAGCTTGGTTAAAAATTGTGTAATGCAACATCCCGAGCACACCAGAGAATTTATATAGAACGGCTATAAGAAGAAAAGAATCGAGATGCTTGGCTGCTCCAGTTGAACCCAGACCTCAACTAAGTAACATTACTGCTGATAAAAACTATGTTAAAAGCTACTGAATGTGTACTTAAATGAAGCCTGAAGCCTTACAAGACTGGGAATCGTACAAGAATGATTCCCAGTCTCTTCTTTTCATTAAGAAATACAACTCTTAATTTATCTGTAACAGCACAGAGCTGAGGTACTGGCACTCAGCCTAAAAGAGTTTCATCATGCAAAATGAAGTGTTTCGTTTCCATCCTTCTGTCTCCTCCATGTATACCAGCTCTAGTCTGCCTCATGCTTCTGTCAGAAATGGTTACTATGTCCTGAAGGAGTCAAGCAGGATGTCCTTGGACGTTACGCTAGAAAGTGATGGGTAAAGGAGTAGTCGATGTTAAGTGGAATTTTCCAGTATGAGCTAGATTGAAAATATATTTACATTATTTTTATTTCATATAAACAACGCAAAAAAAAACAAAACAAAAAAAACAGACCAGAGTCATGGAGCAAAAACAAAACAATATGTCATTTAATGTTGTCTCATTTAACTTCACATATTATTATCACTGTGAACTTCAATTCTGAAAACCTTTTCTTTCCTCTGACTTCCAAGCTCTTTCATGTGATTCAGCCATTGTGAAGTAAAACAAACTTTAGTCACTTTAAAGTCTATTTTTAATAAAAGTTAGATGGGGAAATCCACACCTCTGACATTATTTCATCCTCTCTTCCAGCCCCCCTTATTGTATGAAACTTAGAGCTCTATGAGATGAAGATGTAACCTTGCAATTCCCCTCCAAATGGCATTTAAATGCCTACTTGTGTATTCAGACACTTTTAGATTCCGGCTGCATGAGTGACTCAGAAAGCATTATAGCTCATGGTGAGACATGATAAGTGTTTCTGAAATCTCTCTAAAGAGGATTTGTGTGGTGCAGTTACATGTGATGGAAAGGAAGTGAGAACAGTCTACATATATTAAAAAGGACCAAATGACACTTTGGCTCATGCTTAGCTTGGTTTTAAACATGAATCTTTTCTTATTTTTAACTATTTTGTGATTGGATCTCAATAAACCTGAAGCTGCTAGACAGACCAGTCAAACCACGCAGCACTGCTGATACACTAAATCCCCTTTGAGCGGTGACACTAATCAATAACATAACTGGTCAATGGCATGGCAAGTTTATTTGTATAGCACAATTCAACAACAAGGTGATTCAAAGTGCTTTACAGAGACATTAAAAAACAAAAACAAATAAAAAGCATGATTTAAAATTGATTAAAAAAACCCCAAAAACAAACAGTAGATAAAATCAATAGTTAAAATGTACGTTTTGAAATTTAAGCTTAAAAGTGTGGATTTGGTGCTTTATTCAAATGCAGCTGAGAATAGGTGAGTCTTCAACCTGGATTTAAATAAACTGAGTGTTTCAGCTGATCTGAGGCTTTCTGGGAGTTTGTTCCAGATATAAGGAGCATAAAAGCTGAATGCAGCTTCTCCGTGTCTGGTTCTGATTCTGGGAACTGATAAAAAACCGGATCCAGATGAATCAATCAATGAATCTATTTTATCTCAATAGACAGAAATGAATGCATTTTGCTATTATTTGTAATCATTTAATAAACAAATATACCTGCTATGTGCAAGTAAATGAGAGCCCAATTAAGAAAATTCAGGGTATAAGGATTTTACCATGGTGTCATAAAGCACCTGTTGTCTAGGAATCAAAGTGCTTTTCTGTAATCAACTGAATTTCAAAATGAAGAAAAGAGCAAACAAACATCTTCATGCAGAATCAAGCCTTCACAAATGACTAATGCTGTGGCTGTAGCTTCATTAAATTTGCCTGTTAATAACCAAACTGCCTAACAACTGTCAGCAGCATCAGTGATTAAACTTATGGTTATTTTTCATGCTGCACTCAGTCCCTAAAGAGCAGGGAACAGGGTTTTTTCCCCCTAATAATTAATGGCTACAGTACAAATCAATACATTGTACTGTGATTGATATCCAGCAACATAATGCAGGAGAGAAAAAACACAGGAGGAGCTGGAAGGAGATAGAAAGGGAGGGGAGGAAGAAAGAATCCGTAATAGGATCTTCTTCTAAAATGATCTGGTCGATAGAGATCACATATCTGCTGAAACTGATGATTCTCCCCACCACCACCACCAAGCCCCCCAGTAAAGAAATGGAGATCAGGTCTGCAGTAAAAGTTTTAAATGAGTTGTTACTGTTCGCAACTAAAACTTATAAGACAGGCTGACCTAACAGCAAAGAACCAGGTTGAACAGAATCTGAAGAATGAATAAAAGAATAAGGATATAAAAGGAAAAGACAAACAGCAGGGGCAGCATGAGGAAACACAAAAGATGGGTAGCAGTGCTATAACCCTGTTAGTGTGATTTATGTTAGACATTAGGTTTTAGACTAGATAAGGCAGGTGGGTCAGCTTAGACCTAAAACCACATTTTAAACTACATAACACAGAATGTCCCTGCTCCGCTGCATCAGAGGTAATAGCTCACTCTCCTAATTAATAACTATTCATTGGTGTGTGTGTGTGGTGGGGGGGGGCTTTAGTGCATGCGTGCTTACAAAGCATAAAAAGCCATTAGGCTATCAATAATTCAACCATGGCACTTTCCATGTAGCTCATTCAAACATGGTTGGTAGTTTAACATACATGCTCACACAACCTGCTAATGGTCTTAGCATTAAGCGTTAAAGAAGACACAAAACAGCACTTTTTAGCAGATTTTATGCAAAATTAACAGAGTTGGAATTTATTTGGAGAAAATAAATGGATTTAAAATGACTTGAAGTTAAATTAGAACTTAGGTTTTGGTAACTCACCTCATGCTGACATTTGCTCTGGGGCCAGTGAGGAGGAGAGAGCGTTATAGCAGAAAACAAAAACGAATAGCCAGAGTTTCAAAGTTTCAAAGCTCTTAGAGCGGCCCATCAGCAGCTACTCTTGAGTTTTTATAACAATAGTTTAACAATAGCTTATTACCATCTAAATCAGGACATAGTGATCTTTGAAAGTTTGAATAAAACTGTGGAATTTAAACAAGTCACTCATTTGAAGTTGGCATTCATATTCACGGTTACTGTTTGACTAGTAATCGTTCAAATCTACTATGCCTACTTGTTAGCTAGCAAGCTGCTTTGCTAGCTAACAGAAATGAGTGACACGACTGAGGTCACGTTATCAGGCCAAAAATATATATTTACTGTAAGAAGGCATAACATTACAGGTGTGGTATTAGCTATACTAAAATAAAGACAATATAAAAACAAACAGGACCCTCAACGTGAAAGAACGAACCAATCACGGTCTGTAATTTAAAACTGACCTCATAGCTACAACAAAATAAACACATTTCAATAAATTATTGTAAAAAATTATCCACATCTGCCTGCCTTTTAAATCTACATACCAGCAAACCTTTCATTGGCAACCTGCATCTCAACCTTCATTTATACATACAAACATACCCCCAGTGAGAAGGCAATGAAAACTACATTTTCAGTTAGAATATCTCAGTCAGAAGTTTCCTAGGTGAAGAAAATAATCTCAAATTATGTTCAGTTTGTCCAAAAATGAAAGACTTTTACCTGGAAGGTGCAGTCGCCCCAAAACAAAACGTATTAATTATTGTTCATAAAATATGCACTTCAACCAATAATAATAATTTCATAAATGTTTGAAATTGTTAAATGAATTTTTTTTTTTTTTGCAGATTTAGCAAATTGCTGAAATGAAAAAAAAAAAAAAGATTATTATTTGATTATATGATCAAATTCCTTTGTGGATTAATATGAGGAAGCACTTTACAATGCCTTATCTGAAATCAGAAGGTAAAAATGCGTTTGTGTTTTTCTTTACCTGAAAAGGTACCAGAATTTGTTAAGAAACACAACCAAGATCCAGTCTCATTTTATCATTTTGAGAGAGACAAAAGAACTAAATGAAGTTGGTCTAGTGAGCTGAAAACTAATCTGAGAGTGAGAGCAAAGAAAAAGAAACTGCCTAATGAAAAAGGAACAGTGAGTGGAAATGTGTTTGCTTATGACTGAACATTCCTCAGAACAATGTCCAACATCAAAACAGTGGATGTTCTCAAAGAAATGTGGGAAACATATGATACAAATAAAAACAGATTTCTGACAAAATAAATAAAAAAAAACAAACAGATGTACCAGTCGTTCGATTTAATTGTTAACATTTTAATTAATGCCCTATGCCAGTAAATTGTAAATGTGATGCAGCCATCTGGCACCAGACAGAGCAAAGAAAAAACACCATAACTCTCTTAATCTATGCCTGAAGCTTTTATTATGCCTATTATTGTCAGTTATTTTGATGGTGAAAGAATGAGATTGGAGACAGAAGTGATGGAAATGAGCTTTCTCTGAAAGAAGCAGCTTGAGGTGGTCTCCTCCTGGGTTAGATGTTCTAGGCATGTCCCACTGGGAGGAGGGCCCAGTGGGACATACACTCACGACATGCTACAGACATGCTATACACCCACGACATGCTACAGAGACTGCATCTCTCGACGAGCCTGGGAGAACCTCAGTGTTCCCCTGGCTAAGCTGGAGGAGGTGGGCTGGGAGGAGTTCTGGACATGGATGGATGTTACCAGGTTAAAATGCTAACAAAACAAGATAAATGTGAATCTACAAATGACTCTTAAGAACAATATCAATACATAAATAAGAGAAACATTTAGGGGGGCAGAAAATTAAAGCTGAAAAACTGTCACACAAATGCAAATAAAATAAGGCTATGGTGAGGCATGATGCTCAAGACTAGTCTAAAAGATAATTAAGTGTCATTTTACAGCATTTTTTGACTTTGAGGAAGCAAAATGAAAGGAATTAGCTGCATTTTTCAGGTAATTTCTGGGAAAGATACTGATTTTTTTTTTTACTCAGTATTAATGTAATTATGTCAAGGTTACATCTGACTAAAAGCAAAATTTAGCAAGAGGAGGCACGCCTCCAGTGTATTAGTGACACAATTCCAAGTGTTAATCATAAACAAAATGCTGAGGAGGATTTTTAATCCTTTCAATATTATTATTATTATTATTATTATTATTATTAGTAGTAGTAGTAGTAGTAGTAGTAGTAGTAGTAGTAGTAGTAGTAGTAGTAGTAGTAGTAGTAGTAGTAGTAGTAGTAGTAGTAGTAGT